AGCCCACTAGGCACGACAAGGAGATGTAATGTTGTGTTGCGACAAGGCACAATGTTTTTTTTCCGTCGTGCATGGTTGGTCCGGCGATTTTTCGGCGGCGGCTTGCTGCCATGCCCTATGCCTACCAATGTGGGGATGCAGGTTATTTTGTGCGGTGCATCACTGCGGAGGTTGACTGTCGCCGCGCTAGTCTTGTTGTTTGTAGCGCCGTTGTGGGGCTGTTTGTACGTCTTGTTGTGTGGTTGCGTTTTTGTTCTTAGCAGCACCCAGAACAAGGCAGGGAGAGGTGACCATGTATACAGACGTCTCGTCGGGCGGGGCGAATGAATCTCGTTTTTTTTTCCTTCACTGTCTTGGCTCGGTGTTTTTTTCTGCTTTCACCGTCCACATCCATCGTCTGCATGGTTGATCCGACGTGGGGATGCAATCAAAATGTCAATCAATGCGGTCCACACGAGACCAAAGNGTATTTCTCCCTGCGCGGTCGGTAATTGCACATGTCTGATAACCACGCTGGCCGCTACGCGCTCAAAGACCGAAGAGTATTCTAAGGGTGCTTTGGCCCCGGATCGCTAACGGGCGACAAATCAGCCCCTTCATTGCTCGGGGGTGACACTTTTTACCGACAACAGGAGATCCCGCGCGCGGCAACGNGCTTTCACCGTCCACATCCATCGTCTGCATGGTTGATCCGACGTGGGGATGCAATCAAAATGTCAATCAATGCGGTCCACACGAGACCAAAGAGCACCGCGCAAAAGATCTCAAACCAACGGCATGGTATTTCTCCCTGCGCGGTCGGTACTTGCACATGTCTGATAACCACGCTGGCCGCTACGCGCTCAAAGACCGAAGAGTATTCTAAGGGTGCTTTGGCCCCGGATCGCTAACGGGCGACAAATCAGCCCCTTCATTGCTTGGGGGTGACACTTTTTACCGACAACAGGAGATCCCGCGCGCAGCAACGAACGAAAAAATTGTCGCCGAGAGAAAGGGACCGCTCATTCTCCAAACACTACTGCGAATTGTAGCACACGTCTCGCATTCATCGGAGGGACTTTTGTCGCAAAAATAAATGGGAAACCTAAAAAATGGGCACACAAATACGCATNACCGCTCATTCTCCAAACACTACTGCGAATTGTAGCACACGTCTCGCATTCATCGGAGGGACTTTTGTCGCAAAAATAAATGGGAAACCAAAAGAGTAAAGGGCACACAAATACGCACATGCACACACGACAAGACACGTACGCCCCTAAGCCCCTTCCTGTCAAGGGCAGGCCAATATATCACGGTACCCCCCGCGTCTCCACAACGAATCCCGAGTACCCGACCACCTCACCTCAGCCCTATCTGGCCACCCGCCAAACCTTCATGTGTTCCTCGACCCTTTCTCTCCCTCCCCGAATATGCCCTGCTTTCTAGCACCGTAGTCCAGAGCGCGTTCAACCCGCGCAGAACCTCTTCCGCCTGTCAGCCCTCGACGAATACAGTGCCTCGTTGCGCTGCAGGTTGTATAGAGGGCGGTATTGTCGCCTGTTGTCCAGTAGCATCCTCAGCGCCAGGCGGGTGGGGACGTCTCCCGACCTCGTCGGCTTCGGTACCCCCGTGTCGGTTGTTTGAAAGTCTTCCGGCAGCGTGTCGTTTTCCTTCAGATGGGGACGGTCGCGCCCGGTGTCCGCGTCTTCCTCTGACATGTGGACCGGCTTCACTTGCTCGTCGCGGAGGTAGTTGTGCAGACGAAAGAGGGCCGTGATGAGGGCGCTGCGGCCTGCGAACTGAACCCGCAACGGCCTCCACAAAATCCCCCACTGCCCAACGAGGATGCCGTAAGCTTGCTCGATCTTCACTCGCAGTTGGCTCAGGTGGAAGTTGAACGAGTTTTCGTCTCATGGCAGCGACTTCCCCGGGTACGACGTGAGGAGATGATCGCTGAGAGGGTACGCCGCGTCGCCTAGCACGTAGTACCCAGGCGGTAGGCGCGCCACCGAGTCTGACAGCGAAAAACGATTCCATGCTATCCAGTCCTTCGTCGCACCGGACGAAATGGCCGACATGCTGCAGAAGAAGCGGTAGTGGGCGTCACAGGTCGCCTGGATGTTCACCCCGTACCCACTCTTGTTCCCGGAAAAGTAGGAGAGCACGTTCGGGATATCCACCGGAGACGGGGCGATGGCCTTAACAATCAGGCCAACTCCAGCAGCAACACAACCGAAGAATACGCCGGCGCTTGATGTCTCTCACATGCTCTTCCCAGTCCAAGTGCCGCGGCTCATGGATAGGTAGCCGTGCCTTGGGGGCAAAGCTCTGAACGACCGTTGTTGTAACTACAGTCAGCACCAGCACTATTGCCGCCACAGCCTTCACTTTCCTGAGCACATCGTTATTGTTTGTGTGCCTTGCTCGTGCCGGCGGGCGAAGACAGCCCGCCGACTCTGCAGGCACGCCCCCCTTTCTACGGTCAGCCATCACCCAAGCACAACCCTAGCTGGCGTTCTGTTGCGAGGGGAACTCGTGGTTCAACACTTTGCAGCCCTCACGTGCTCTGCACTATAGTTTGGAAAAGTGTCAAAAAAGAGTTCCAAACGTTGGAACGAACTGGCGCCAAGCTTTCTGGCCCGACTTCATTCCAAACTATTTTGAAAAATTTGGACAAACGCCTACACACAAGTTCCAAAAATTTGGGGACTTTGAAAGTTTGGAAAAATATTTGGCGTGTTTTAAACGGCCCTTACTCTTCTTTCGGTTCATTACCATGGGGGCTACCACTGTGCATGGTGTTGTGTATTAGCATGTACTTCTGTATATAGTAAAATCGCTCTAACTATCAAGCTCTATGTACTGTTGTATGTAGTACTTTTTCGTTTCTCGGGTGACTTTTTCTGCTTCCAACAGCAGCATGTAATTCATCAAGATGCATCGTTGCTATCGTCAAAAGCTTGCACGAAATAGCAAGTAGATGGATCGACTATTGCCGCACCGAATTAAGGATGGATGTGGATTGGTGACGCGCGTCTTGATTGAATGGGACAACAAATACCTTGAACACGATTTTTTTTGCATGACTAGGACTGATTACTGCTGTAGTCTGCCCACGAAATGAAATAGTCGAGAGGTGTGGTCCCGAACTACTGTACTACAGCACAACATGAAAATTATTGACAGCATGGACCATGGCCGCGCAGCACACGTCGACCGTTCTCGCAGACCTATCCGACGTCTGTCGCACCTTATGCCCCTGGGGGCGCGGGAGCCGATGCCTCAACCTCCTGTGCCCTCTAGCTCTTTGCGGACGTCTTCACGTCTTCATTGCGGCTCCAAACACCGTCACCTCTTGCTACTTCTAACGTGTCGTCTTCCTTCTTCATATTCCTAACTTCCCCTCGAACCCTCACCGTCATCCATTCCGATGTGGCCGCCCGGCCCATCGGGGGGCGGGGGCCAATACTTAACCCTAGTAATATTTTTTTTGGGGTGCAGAGCCAGAAGTAGGTGAAATAGACAAGAACGGGACGTCGAAGAAGGTCTTGGACGAAAAATGCGTCACGTGTGTTGTCGGGGATATGCATCATTGCTTGATACCTGCGTACAACCAGTGGCATCGTGCGTCACACATTTTCCTCCGTAGTCGATTGCAGCAACACAACAAGACGTCTCTCTCCGTATTATGCGTATGTTGTGCAAATGCACCTTTGTCTGTTGTAGGCGTTTAGCACAGGAGCGTGAAGCATGGGTCCCCGCGCCCCCAGTGGGCGGGGGGGGGCATAAGGTGTGACAGATGTCGAGTAGGTCTGCGAGAGCGATGTCCCGAACTTTACGTCTGTTCTTGGCAAGGTGCCCACCAGAGAAGACGACTTCGATGGATCGGGGGCCCTCGACAAAGTCGACATGGAAACCGAGAATCAGCTCCTCCGACAAGCGATCCACCGTATGCGACACAACAACATAATTCGGGAAGAGCTTTAACAACAGGCAACCGATACGGGACACGACACTCCGCCCAGTCCGCCGAACTCGGCTCAGGTAACCACATCCGACAACAATTCAGATGTTGCACAGGAAGAAAGTGTGGCACCAGGCAGCGCGCCGAAGCTGACCGACGGGATATCGCGACCGCTTGAAACGACCCGCGCCGCCACCAGGAGGAGGCCGAACACCTCTGATTCGATCGAACCCTCCCTTGAACCTAGTTCCCTGGAAATCACCATGGACGACAGCGGAAGTGGATGCATGACGTCCACTACCATGCGGGCCGGCCCCAGCGCGCTGACGTCTGAACAGCTTGTGGACTTCGCCAACAACAGCTGCTACGATCACCCCAGCGTCGGTCCGGATTTCGCTCCCCAGCATCGCGGGCCCACGTGGACGCCACAGGCACCTCAATCAGCAAGGATCCTTGGAGGAAGAGCGCATCACAATCTCGAACACCTACAGGGAAGCCATCAACTCGCCACAAGCACCACAGTGGAAAACAGTCTGGTGAAACATAAGGTCTCCAAGTTGGTCCCCATCACCAGCGTTCCAAAGAAAGACAAGATCCTCGGCACAAGCTTCGAGGTCAGGCTGGCGGTTCAAGGCCACGCGCAGGAGTCTGGCATCGACTGAGGGAGGAGCTACGCATCGGTGTGCCGCATCGGGAGCGTTCGCACCTTACTCGCTATGGCATGCGAACAAGGATGACCGGTATATGAGATGGACGACGCCGTGGTGTTTCTGCAGTCTGCGATTGACAAAGACGTCTGGGTAAAGCCCGCCCAAGGACAAGACACGGAGCATCCCGCGACCGGGGACATCATTGTGTACAAGCTCGAATGCCGTCCATGGGAGAGATGCTGTTCGTGATCGGATTCAGGTCACCAAGTCTGACCCCTGCGTATTCATATACGGAAGCAGCGACACTCCCCTGATGACGCTGTACGTCGACGACATCTTGATCAGAGTAAAGAACCCCGAGCTTGTAAGCGGGCCTCAAGAAAGAACTCCACGACCGCTTCGAAATGACGGACATGGGGGGAGTCAGCCTCATTCTAGGCATGCAAGTCACGCGCAGCTACGAGGAAGGCACGCTGACCGTTGCGCAGAACAACTGCATCAAGACTGCAACCCTGTTAGCACCCTAGGATATGGACCGTAACTCTCGACTGATAAGCCAGCGGACAAGCTACTCGGAGCGGCAGACCAACTGTACCAGTCCATCACAGGCAGCCTGCTCTATCTGGCTTAAAACACCAGGTACGACCTGTACGCAGTCAACCAGCTGACGAGGGCATGCAGCACGTGCTTCAGTACCTTTACGGAACGCCGGACATGCCCATCGTATTGAAGCGAGGGCAATTCCGCATCGCAGCATTCGCCGACGTTTTTTCGCAGCTAACCCGGCCAGCAAGAAGTCTACCACAGGGTACCTGTACTACTCTCTGGGATGATGTACCATCAGATTTGGAACCAAGACGCAGTCTCTCACGGCCCAATCGACCGTCGAGAGCGAACTCCAAGGCAATAGCTACGCTACCAGGGAGGCCGTATACCTCTCCAACCTACTCATGGAGTTCAAGTTCGACATCTTCAAGCCTATCCCCATTTGCAGCGACAGCTCGGGTGCTCTCAGCCTTGCCGCCAACTCAATGTTCAGCTCGAGGACCACGCACATCGCGCTGCGGTTCTTCTTCCTTCGGGAACTGATCAAGCGGCGCCGCATCACGGTTAAGCATTTGGACCGGAACAAGTCTATCTCCATTCTCGAACAGATCGAAGATTTCGGATGCTAGGGATCAGAGACAACAGTCCGCGAACGGCTGGATTGGCATTAATGGGGTTCCCCACCTGCTGAGAGACCGGGGATTTTCTGTGCGCGAGACATTTTTTTTTCTACGGTGTGAGAGAAAACAGGGCAACCACACCACTCATGCACCACTCCTCCAGCATCATCTACGACGGCCGAGATGGATAGCAGCATGGAAGAATCGTACGAATACCACCAACAGCGCGGCAGCGAGCGTCGCCGCTTGCTCTCCGAGTCCAACGCCGCACATGGAGACGAACACCAAATCTTCATTCGCGACTCAGTCGGCCAGGAAAGGGGTTGTCAGGCGCATTATGTTAAGACGAAAAAGGCGTGTTGTGGAGAAATGGCCCCCCCGGAACGCATTCGCTTCGAGAGTAATGGAACTGGATTTGGGGGACCGCAGGGCCTTCCGCAGCATGCCGGAAATCATGCTGTCCCTGAAAAGCTTGGTTGACGTTGGTCAGATAGACTTCAGCTTTAGCGACACAACATGGAACTTCCTCGTGGCCTCGTGGGTTAAGGAAAGTGCCCGCAACGAAGACTTCCACGGCCGCTTCGACCTCGAAACGGCCACCCACACCAGGGAGAACATCATCGCCAGGTGCACCAAGCTTAAGAACAAAGCGGGAATCACCAAGCAGCTGTCCAACTACGGACGTGAATTCGGCGTTGAATCTTCTTGACTGAACAATCTCAGGTTCCGTCTGTTCAATATATTTCTTGTTCGCTGATGATGAAACGCTGATAAGTAAGTTTGTTCGCTGCTGAGTTTGCATCGCCACCCGAGCAGATGAAAGTAGGTTCATGAAGTAGCTGTTCGCGGAGTGGACATCTTGCATGGCAAGTTTTCCCGTTCCGCATGGTATGCATGATTTCTACGTATCATGGAAGTGTTACTGTTTTTTCCCGTGAAAATTGTGTGTGTACGCGGTGTAGGCAACTGTGTATAGAAGAACATGATATGAGATTTGAAGCAGCAAGCAGCAACATACGAGAGTTCACCGGGGAGTTGACAAGAAGAAGACAACTTTGTTGACCCTTGAGAGGTCTTGGAGATGCACCGTTTGCCGTGTTACTTGATCGAGGGGTCGTGTCAGGGATATTCATTCTTGCCCAATACCTGCGTAGTACCAGTAGCATCATGAGTCACGCATTTCCTTCTGTAGCCGATTGCAGCAACGCAACAAGATGTCTCTGTCTGTGTACTGCATATGTCGGGCAAGAACACTTTATTATGTGGTACGCGTGTAGGTTGAGAGTCGAGGGCACTTGACCTAGATACACAGCAGTAGTAGCTTACATGTAGAACTCGAGCAGGGAGACTCTGAGTACGTCCGAGAGACCGTCGGAATATGAACAGGTAGCATTGGAGGCTGTTCGGGTGTTCCTTTCCCTTCTGTTTCCAGGCGGCTGTTACACTTGGAGAGTCTTGCATGTGGTTTGAAGCAGCTGCAACATTCATTTCATTCTTTCTAGCACAGCAGTAGCGGGTAGAACAGCCACGAACACCGTGCTTGGTCACAGGTATCCGTATACAGCAGTTTCGAAACGCACACGTCTGTACCCTGTATTTGCGCTTGCTGCACGATGGAGGAACAACAAACACGCCGCCCGCGACAACGGTCTGAACCACCTAGTAAAGCGCGTAAGCCATTCAAGTACTGCAGCAACGTAAGAGGTGGGACGGTGTTGTGGCTCAAAGCGCGCCTGACTGATGGTGGGAGGTGAGCTGTTTGTCCGTCGGTCCCATTTGCCCTCTCTTCAACTCTTCTTCTCTTTTCTATTGCTGTCGTCGACTCCAAGACGTTTGTGCCGCTGTGCTGCTGCTGCTGTTTAATTCTGCTGCTCGGGTCTTGGCTGCTCAATGTTGTACCTCCTCCCTGGCTCTCGCCCTCTGTGAGGCAAGAGGCAAAAAAACGCTATGGTACATAGCTGTCAAGCACACACGGCCCGCAGCAGCCCAAGCTCGCACAAAGTCGGAACGTTGGACCGAAAATAGAACGACGTTGTATGAACGTGGCAGAACGAATAATGATGACAAGCAGGTGCTGCGCCCAGGTCGCTGCGGAAGTGAGTTCGTTTCGAAGAATATTTTTTCTGTTGACACACATGTACATGCGTGTAGTATGTACTACCGAGTGCGTGGTGGTGTGGCTGTGTACTCCATCTTTCTTTGAACCTTTGAAAAGCACACAACACGCGCGCTGTTCCTATCTAGATTCATTCGATCCGTCCCACATTTATTTTCGTATCCATCCAGTTTCTCCGGAATGTGCGGCACACACCATGATGCTACGGTTACTGCCCTGCCACATAAGTTTACATGCTGAACGCGCGAATACAACGCTTCTCCGCCCGCCTGTGGAGAGGGTTCCCTGGGCGGTTATACGGCTCTCATGAATTTCAAGTAGTTTGGCGGCCTGGAATCCGCGGCGGTGGGAGACGCAGCATCAGAAAAATAAGGCAAATTTAATGCGGAGTGAGTGCGGAAGAAATGCACAGTGCGTACTCTACAATCAAATATCTGTGTTTACTCTTCGTTTCATGTTCTTGCACGACCCCCTGCAGCGGTGCTCTCATTGACCCACTCCGGAGGGACGCCTTGCATTTTGTATGCATAAGAGACTGTCGGAACATATGCGGTATAACTATTGAGTTTGTCCGAACCCCCCGCAAATTCCCGCACAGCGAGTAGATTTCTGGAGAACCCTGCGTTGACGGTCTGTGTGATGTGGTTTTTGTTTTCGAGATGAGGCACAAGCGTGCACTAGCCCTTGTGCTCACTGAAGCACCATCGAAACCTGATCCGACAGTCCTTCAGTAATCAAATATCGTTCTTTGCTTATTTGCTCCGAGGTACACATCAATTTGCACCCGCACTCGAAGTGTGACCTCTGTGAAGGCTGCTGTACAACCACAGCCTATGGAGCGATCGGGCACACAGCACACAACCGCTGCTGCTGCTGCTGCTGCTGCTGCTGCTTCGCTCAGACGCCTATGGCCGAGCGTGTGTACGTGCTTTATGATAATTAACATGGATCAATGAAACGACGGCAGTCTCAGTGCGGTTGAAAACACAACACATGCTTGAATGCCATAAACTGGGATTCCGTGAGATGGCGGCATGGAGGAGGCAACGCTATTGACCGGGTGAAACAAAGAAGATAAAGCAACAGCCGAAATATGTGCCAATACTTCAGAGATGGAACAAATGAAGTCCGCACATAATATCCAGCGGTTGATCTCCCACCAATGAAGCGCAGAAGCTCGTCCGATAATCGTATTGACGGGGCTATAGTTGACATGCTAGGAATCGCGGTCGTTCCCATGGAAGAGCGTTGTCGCCCTCGTTGATAATGTGGATGAAACCGCACCACCGTACATGTTTCAAAATTTTGAATAATTATGGGCGCCCCGCCCCCGAATGGGGCGGGCGGCCATCACGAGACGGATGGCAGGGAGGTTTTGAGAGGAAGTGTAGTATCAGGAAGAGGAAAACGACTTTAGGTGGTAACCAAAGACAGCAAGTCTATCGACGAAAACGAAAGAGCCGAAAATATCCTTTAGTGCTCGTCGCGAAGACCGGACTGCCTGTTTCTGGTCTTTTTAAGGACTCTTTTTCACAACCTGTACAGTGTGACGTCACGCGCGTGACAAATTGCCCTTTTTTTGTCTGCTTTCTCAACGTGCGTTCGCTCAGATTCCACCAAGCTGCGTGCCAAACAAACCACTTTCAATTATCGCGAGCCATCGAACTGAAGATCTCCATTCCTCTGTCGCGCCCAAAGAATACGGAAGAGGCACACCTGATGTGTCTGCGTACTGGCTCCTGTGACAACACTCCACATCGACCACCCTGTCCCACTCAGATTACGCGGTTGCAAACACCGACCGTCACACAAAAGTTGATCAAGGCAATTCGAAAGAAAACAATAAATATTTCGTCTGAAGTGCAGTTCAGCCGACACGGAGATATGGAGGTTATGTAGTCTAGAAATAATTGATGCATATAGAGGACCAGGGTATAGGCGGCCGCCCGCCGATGAGGCGGGAGGGCCACCTGGAAGCAAAATCTTTGCCACTGTGTGATCGACCGTGCATTGGCCGAGACTTACATGGCGGCCAAAATTAAGGGGAGAAGGTTCACGTAATTTATTCCGGAACAATTTTTTTGGCGTAATCTACATCGCAACAAATACTTTGGCGTCCGTAAATAAAATGCCGGCACCATCGCACATGGAATACACGAAGATGACGTACGCCTAAAGGAGAATATCGGAAACGAGCGTGAAGAACAGACACCGCAAAAGAAACCAATATAGTTCTAAAGTGAATTATTGTCCGGGTAACGATCGGACCATGGTTCGGCCATGTTTCAGAACACTACTTCTGTTAATCTACATACATACGCGTCGGTTTAGCAGAACACTGCACATCATGTATAACAACATATTGGTGAAATTGAGAGCGAAGCATGAAATTGAGAGCGAGAGCCAAAAAAAATAAAATTCGGGTCCAGACGCCTCTCGCCATTTATTGTGAAGTAGGGGGCGGGCTCTTTCAAGAAGCGGTGCAAATTGAAGGTCTCATCAGCAGCGTCACGAGGATATGCGTGTCATCGTCATCGGATGCTGCAGCTAGGAGCTAGACAAGTTGCTAGATTTCCCCAGATTGGCTATTCCTGCCTCAAACTGTTGCAGGGCGGCTCGGCCTCGGGTGGTGGGCTCTGCTGTAGCTTCTGCTCGCCGCTGTAACTCCACATCGAGAGACTCCCACAGGATGACCAGGGTATCTGCTTGTAGCTACGGGCTAGGCCTTTAATTCAAGCTACACAGCAAGCTACACCTCTCAGCAGTAGTCCAGCTGCAGCGCATCGCGCAATCTCGCTCTCAATCAGAAACTTCGCTCTCAATTTATCCAGTATGCCGTTCTCAATTTCACCAATATGCTGTTGTTTGTGAGTATGTCTACTGCTGCTTGCTG